AAAGCACGAGGCACGGCAAGGGCTATTTCAAGGGCAATCCCACTGGCAGCATGCCCGGGTGGCTGTGCAAGCGCCTAACACCGTCCCGGAGGCCCCTTCCTGGATGGGAGCTAAGGATAGGACCCCCCCCTAGGGCACCCCATCATGATGCACTTGAGTAACGCTCGTGTACGGGGGTCTAGGATGGGTATTCCCACCAGGATGTGGAGGGAAGGGCAGGTAAAGGCTGTTTTCCCCTGCCCACGCTGTGTACCCAGGACTGGCATCGGTGCCAGAGCTTTGGGACAGAGGTGTGACCTACGGCACCGTGCCCTATAGCGCGGGGTGGGAGCACCAGCACCTTTCACCCCAATAGAGCATCCCCTTCCCAATCTCGTGGCTGCGACCAGACTCCAGGGTGAGGGGCAGCACCCCAGAGGGGAGCCAGAGGAAGGAACAGGCGAGCGCAGATTAAACCTAACGCTTCCCCCTTCCCTCCAGCTGCCCCCAACCTGCAGCCCTGCGCTGTCAGGAAGCCATCAACCACCCTGCACCCCACAGCACACACACACACACCCCCGGCAGCCTGGCCCCCTTCCAAAGCCACTGTCTCCGCTGTAATGCTCCCTTGCCCTGCAGCCAACACGCAGACACATACACGCGTGCGCTCGCACCCAGCTCCCCCCTGCACACATGCCCCGGGCGTGCACACACGTGCACAGGGCCCACGGGGACGTGCACCCTGCAAACGGGGGATGAGCACGGTCAGCACACTTGGGTTGTGCAACACACGCGGATGGGGCCCCCCCATACACACACACACACACACACACACACACCCCGGTGCTGCCGTCACACCCAGTGCCTCCCCACCGGTGCCAAGCGCACAGGCAGCCCGGCGCACGCTCGCACACCCACAAACCACACGGGCTCACCCCGGTGCGCACGCGCACGCTCGCAGGAAGAGCAATGGGCTTCCCGCTGCCTTTTCCCTCCATTAACTCCCTCCGTGGATCCCAATGGGCACGCACATGGCACCCCGGCACCCACCCCTGTGCCCCTTTCACCCTGTATCAGTGGTGGAGGAGGAGGAGGAGAGCCGGGCGCTCGCCCTCGCTGCTCCAAGGGCTGGCAATGGGTTGTCCCCAAGGGTTTGGGGACAGCAGCAGGGCCCTGGCAAAGGCTCCACCATGCAAAGCAGTGCGTTGGACAAGGTGAACCAGCAGGCCCCAGGGCGAAGGGCAAGGCAGGTGGTGCAGGCAGAGGTGGAAGAGCCAGGATGGAGCACAGCAATAAACACGGCAGCAGACGACGGGCTGGCCGAGACACCGAGGCATCACCCTGATGCGGTGCCAGGGGGATGCATCCGTGGGCTTGGGGAGCAACATGGACCCTTCTGGGTACCAAGGAGCATGGGTTAATACAAGAGCTGCCTGCGCAGGGGGAGCGGTGTGTGGGTAAACTGAGGCACAGCCCTGTGGGGCTCAGCTTGGGATGTGTACCATGAGCCCCCCGCATCCCAGTGCCCTGCCAGCCCATGGGATGGGCTCCCCTCCATATAACAACACAAAGGGTGTTGGTGGCAGTGTGGAACACAGGGATCAAGCACCTCAACACCGGACCCTGAGTCTGCAGCACCCAGTGGGTCTCATCCCCACTGCCATCAGCCTGCTGGATCCCAGCTCCAGGGGAACCACCATCCTCACGCCATGGGGCCCCACAACCACCACACAATGGGGAACCCCATCCTAAGGTGACCTCTGGTCCCACACAACAGTGTCCCCCACCCCCAGGGTGACCTTCACCCTTCCCACAATGGGTCCCCCAAACCAAAGGCTACCCCCATACCACACGCTGCAGGGTCCCCCAAGCTCGGGGTGACCTCCATCCCCTAAACAACAGCGTTGCCGAAGCCCAGGGTGACCTCAGCCCCCTATGCCAAGGGGAACCCCAACTTCAGTCCCCCAGACAATGAGGTCCCCAGGCCCAGGGTGACCTTGTCCCTCACACCATAGCCCCCCCCGTGCCCAGGGTGACCTCTGCCCCACACACAACAGGATACCCCACCTCCAGGCTGACCTCCATCCCCACACCATGGGGTCTCCCAAACCTAGCCCAACCTCCATGCACTACACCACGGCGGCCCCCACCTCCAGGCTCACCTCCATCCCTACACCGCGGGGTCCCCAAACCCCGGGGGTGACCTCTGCCCCCCATATATAACCCTCCCAACCAACAGAGCCAAAGGCGCCGAGCTGGAAGCCTGCGGGCAGCCCATCAGCCCCATCGCACCCCCCCAAGCACAGCCCTACAACCGGGGGGCGACCCCCGTTCCCCCCCCACACCCCCCCCCTTCTCCTCCTCTCCCGGGATGGGGGTACCGGTGATGGGGGGGGTGTCAGCACTCACCCGCGGGCCGCGCCGTCCAGCGGGGGCTGCGCTCGTCCATGGGCAGAGCGGCGCAGGGCGCGGAGCCGAGCGGAGCCGAGCCGAGCCGAGCCGAGCCGAGCCGAGCCGAGCCGAGCCTAACCCCGCCGCTTCCTGCTTCCCTCGGCGCCCGCCCGCCGCCCCGGGAGCCGCACGGCTGGAGCGTGACTCACCGGGGGCCGGGCCGGGCAGGGCAGGGCCCCGACGGGGCGGGAGGGGACGGGGACGGGCGGTTGGTACCGGCCCCACAATGGGAGGGAGCAAGGAGGGGGGGGGGATGATGGGGAAGGAAAGGGGGGACCCCATCAGAGTGGGGGTCGTGGTGTGCCCAGAGTGGGGGAACCCCCCCCATGGGGTGGGGGTGAAGCATTGGAGCAAGGGAAAGTGTTGCCAAGAATTGGGATGATGGGGTGACAGCGCTGACCACAATACACAGGAATCCCTTCACAGTGGGGGTGTCAGTATCACCCGGCCATGGGGGTTAAGAGACTGGGGTGGCATCTGGCCCTTTTGACTCCCATCCCAAACCTGCCTGACACTCCAAATAGGGTTTGGGACACAGGGTCCTGGTGTCTGGACCCCAATCCTTAGTCCAGACCCTGCGGAGATTAAGGGGGGACAGTCCCCTCCATGCACACCAATGCCCCACGCACCCCCTGCACCAGGAATGCCTCATCCGGTGTGGAATGTGATGGTCACCCCTGTGCCACTCCACCAGCACCCCATGGACTTCAGGTTTGGATCCACCAGTGAAACGAGCGGGGTAGGGCTCAGCCCAGCTGCAAGCAGAGGAGGTTGCCAACCATAGGAATCCATCCCATGTGCCGGACAGGCTCCAACACGCTGGACCCCGACCATCCCCATGCAGAGGGGAGGAATGTGATCCCGGCGCTGCTGGCCATGAACTTGCACCTCCGTGGGAGGAGATGCAGCCACAACAGGGACACCCAGGCATTCCCAAGCAAGCTGCCACTCACATCAACACACAAACCCACCCACCCGAACCCCTTCCCAGCTCACCCTCGCCTCTCCATCCTCCTCCTCCTCTTCCTCCAACAGCCTCCCGCAGCCCTCCCTGCCATCAGCGCGTTCTCTCCCCCCCTCCATCTCCCTTTTCCCGTTCTATTTTAAATTTTTATTGCATTCTTTTTAAGGAATACGGAGGAACAAATGCCCTTATCAGCAATTCTCACAAGGTATAAAGAGACGCTTTTATCTCCCTGCCTTTACTAATCTACAGCGAGCCAATGCCTGTTAATTGTTTAATTTTCCTAGTGAATGCATTTGTGGCTTTGTCAGCATCCGCACGCACGCTTCCCCTCCGCATCCCAGCCCGCTGACCCCGGCATGGGATCGCCGCTGTGCACGGTAAGCATGGCTCATGGGTTTTGCAGCCACGAAGGAGTCTGTGAGCCGGTTCATCCTCGCGTGTCACGCACACAAGGCTCGCAGGGACACATTGGGATGTGCCACGGGATGGGAAGACCTGATATAGAGTGGTACCCAAGGGATGACAGCCATAGTGTGGAAGGGGCGATGCAAGAGTGGGTCTCCATCCTCAGCATGGGGATGGATTCCTGCGCCAAACCATCACCATCACCCGCTCTGATGAGGTCCCTATGGGGGACAAGGAGGGTTTCACCTCTATCCCCCCTCCCATGGAAGGAAGGGCAGGCACAGGCTGCTCGCACACCAGGGCTGGGAGCGCCGGCAGCCGGCCGCGGTGCGCAGATGAGATGTGGCAGGCGTGTAACAAGCCATTAGTCACTGTCACCTTTGCCCGGCAGCCACTGGCAGGGTAATAAATCCCGAGCTGACTCCGGCAGGCCCGTTCCAGGCCACGGCTCCCAGCTTGCTTCCGCGACGCTGTGAGCAGCTTGCAAATGCATCCCGGCCCCCTGACCCCCATCTCCCCTGCAGGGGGGTGGACGCGGGACAGGACGCACGGCGCCTTGAGGGGTCCCAAACCCTGTGGGGCTGATCCACGGTCACCGCAGGGCACCGTGTCCCCAGGTAGCGCCCTTCCGTATGGACACAGGGAGTCACAAATCACCCCACTCATGCACGCCCCAGTTCCCTGCACGCCCTGGTTTCCCTGCACGCCCCAGCTCCCTGCCCGCTGCACCTTGCGGTTCCGGCTCTCCCCAGCCCAACGCCAGGATCTGGCCTCGGCGGTCGGTGCCGGATCAAAGCAGCCTGGCGTGGCAGAGCACGGCACGGCACGGCGCGGCGCGCCCGCCGGGAAGGGCTGGCAAACAAGCCGGTCCGGGGAGGCAGCAGGCGGGAAGCACGCATGATACCTCTCCCAAAAAATGCTGCCGCTCCTGATGGACGGGGCGGCCGAGTCCCGGGAGCTGCGGCACAGCCCAGCCTTGGGGCCACCCCCCAGCTCCCCACTGCGGCCAGCCCAGCACCGTGGCCGTCCCTGGCACCCATGGCCTGACTCACAGCCCCGGGGATGATGGGCAGGGATGGAGGTCACCTCCTTCATAGGGGTTTTGGAGCCCCAAACCGTGGCGGCGCACAGCGGGAATGATGCGCACCAAGGGACAGCCCTTGGGGATGACATCCCCGCAGCCCCCAGCATCACCTACTTGTGGTTCCGACGTCGATGCCCTCCGCATCCAAAGCCGTCCGCTGGCCGATGTCCAGGGCAGTGCCACCACCGGTCCCTGGGCTCTCCCCAGCGCTGCTCACCCGGTGCCGGGACTCACCAGCCACAGGCTTGATGGTGACTGTCTCAAGGGACGATGAGGACGCCTGGAATAGAAGCAGGACAAGAGACTGAGCGCCTTTCCCTTCCCTTTGGGGGGCACGGGGCCTAGGGGACCGAGGAGCACAGACACAAGGTGCTTTTGTTTTGCTGCTGGCCGGTGCACGTGGCCGGCGCGGGGAACCGCACGCCAGCCCGCGCCGCGGGGCTACAGCTGGATCCGGCCGGTGGCTCCCAGACAAGAAAGGCTGGAGCAGGGAAGGGAGAGGACATGAATCAAAGCGGCGTCCCCTTGCTCGCCGGCAGCAGCTGGCCGGTTAGGCAGCTCCTGATTACTCAACTGGGCAGTGTTTATACTCCAGATCAACACCAACACCCCCCTCCATTGCCTTCCCTGCTGAGAGAGGGGAGGAAAAACATGCTGCAGGGATGGGGATGGTGTTGGCACCGCTTTGAGGTTGGGTTAGGGACGGTCCCCAGCGCCCTGACCGCCCCCGGGTGCTGCTGTGGTTTTGTGTTTATCTGTAGCTGTCACCGCACAGGTACACGGTGTTGGGCTGTCACCTTTAATAAAGCAACAATCAGCATCCCAGCATCACCGCGCTGCTCTGGGACAGCCACAGGGACAAGCCTGCCCCAGGCATAGCAGGAAGAGGGTGACCTCCCCTCCTACCATAGGGGACATCCATAGGATACGCCATGCTCCTGATTTCAGGGCATTAGCACCAGGGCTGCAGCACGGTAAGGGTTTTATGTTGATCCCGTTTTCCTTTGGGATTAGTCCTCTAAATGCGGAGAGCCGAAGCGAGATGGATGGTAGGTGCGTTTTGTGCTGGGAAGCCCTTTAGACTCAATGAGCCACGCACAAGAGCGGACGTATAAATTTGCCATTTGCTTCCTGGAAAGGTTTAATTTATGGAGTCCATATGGCAGCGCCACACAACCGCGAGCGCTCGGCACATCCCGCGAGTCCTCGAGTGCCACCAGGTCCCAGCTCCAACTGGCGAGCTGCCACCAGCTGCCCCGGACATGGCAGGATGCTCTTCTCTTCCCCAGTGATTAACACAAGGGGATAGCAAGCAGTCCCCATCCCCAAATGCTTAGCGTGGCATCCTTGGAGACGGCAGGGTCCCAGTGGGAATGCCGTGCCAGCGCTCCTCCTCCAAAGGTGATGCCACCGGCAGCTGCAGGCAGCAATCCCCTACCTGTGGGCATGGGAAAGGGCTGGGGCGCACTTTGATACCCAGAGCAACTATCATTAATTAGCGCTAATCATCCCCCATCATGCACCACGGCAGCATTAGGCAACTCAGCAAGCAATGGGGTTGTGGCGGGGAAGGTGGATTTTGGCTCCCCACGGAGACCCACAGCCACCCAGGCCCCAACCCACTCATCAGCCCCATGGCTGTGGCCCCCTATTTTCCTTCTGGAGGATGCTGAGATGGGTCCTACCGGCCCAAGGAGCATCTAGGATCCGTCCCCCCTCCCTGTTTGTATCCGCCAGGAACCCCCCAGGCAGCAGCCGGAGCCAGGCACCGAGCACCGGCCACCTCCTTGCCTTAACTTCATCCCTCGCTATCTGTCAGCAAATCATCCCCGGCTACACAGATAAGGAATAATTGATGCAAAGGAGCCATCTGTTTGCGAACACGGAATATCTGCTCAATTAGGAGGGATCTGTCCACCCAGATAAAGCATCGCAGCAGCCTCTCAGAGCCGGGGGGGTGGTCTTCTTCCCCAACCACGTTCTCAAAGACTCACCCCCAATTAGAGGTGAGCGGGTTGATTTGGGTGCTAATTTGTTAAGCATCACCAGGAAGGGCTCTGCCACCAAGCACTGGAATTGAATGGGAGGGATGGCAGCACCCCCGTGTCCCACCGTGGTGGTGCTCAGCCCACCCTGGGCTGATGCATCCCCATGGATGGAGAGAGGGGACAAGCAAATGTGCCTGGGAATGGCACTGAGCTGAGGCCATCCTGCTCATTGCATGGTGGCTGCCTGCAGAGACACGCACAGGGAGCCTGCACACAGGCAGAAAGACTCAAGGACAAGCCCACAACAGCTCACAGCACACACCGGCATGCACAGCCTTGACAGGGACCAGGGCCACAGGGCACAGCCCCGGGCAGCATCCAGGGCGCAGCAAGGTGACATCAATGTGACATCGCTCTGTGCTGTTATTAACAGGGGAAAAAATGAGCTGGCATGCAGGTCAGGATGGCAACACAGGGGAGAAGGGCAGGGAGGGAAGGGCAGCTCCAGAGGTGACAAAAACAAGGGAGAAAAGGCTCCAACCGGAGCTGCCCCACAGCATGGCGCTCCCTCCAACCCCACTGCATGGCATCTGCCTCTGTCTACCCCATTAGGCCCTTTGGAGAGCTTGAGCTGGGTCAGAACACAGATGGTGGCCTTAAGGGACAGGCATAGAAGCACTGCCAGACTGTGTGTCACCCGTGCCCCCCATCACTGGCACAGCAGCACCATGGTGCCCCATGCGCCCTCGGGTCAGTGCCCAGGGCAGCAGCTTGCAGTCAGGGGACACGATGGTGGCAAGGGTAGGGAACTGTGTCCCCAGGTCTGTCCTTCCCTGCCAAGGGCACATTCCTTCTGCTCCCATCACTGGGATAATACCTGTTGTGGAATTCGGATTGGCTCTCCCCCCTGGCCCTGGCTTTGGGATGGTGGTGATGGAGCAGGAAAGCAAAGGGCTGTGGCAGCTCTCTGGTGAGGGATCCGGCACGCAGGCAGCCACACCGGTGTGTTTCCTGTGCCTTCGGGACACCAGAAAACACGCTTCCCCATTCCACCTCCCCTGCGCCTCACCTGACGCTGGGGCAGGCTGTAGCGTGTGCACCAGCGGTGCTGCCCATGGGGATGCTGCCCATCCACAGGGATGCTGCCCGTGACAAAGCCCCCTCTGCTCCAGCAGCATCATGCCCCTGCAGCCCAAACCTCCATCCTTCCAGGTGGCAGCACCCTGGAAAACCCCCAAGCTCCCGGCAGGCAGGCACTGAAATGGATGCGGTCATGGTTCTTCACCTCTTGGCTGGTATCACCCCAGCAAGCACCGGCACAGCTGCACCAAGCGATGGGTTTTGGCACAGCCACACCTCCCATACGCAAGCAAGGGATGAGGTGGGGAGGGTGTTCAGCACAGAGGGGCCGCATCCTGCACCTCAGGGGGATGCAAAGAGCCTTAGCACGGGGGCAGCAGCACACCCCAGCACCCAGCTGCAAGGCTTGTGCGGGGACGAACCATCCCTGCCTTCCAACCCCGGCATTCCCCAGGCCTCTGAGGCAGCACTTGAAATAAAAGGTGGTTTTGGAGTGCTTTGGGCTGCAGGGAGCAGGCTCCCCCCGGCTCCCTTTGTTGCTGAGGCCACTGAGCCCCCTGGCTCCCGCTGGGGCTTTATCACCACCACCGCAGGCACAGCGCCTGCTGTGTGTTCACCCAAGTGCTTTCAGCTGCTCTTCCCTCCAGGAATCCTTTGCTTTCCTCCTCCTCCTCATCCTCATCCTCCTCCAGGTGGCCTGAATCCAGAAGGTTTTCCCCCCAAAAAAGCAGGCTGTTCCCAGAGACCTGGCACAGCAGGGGTCTCTGCCACCGCAATGGGAGCCCACAGGAGGGGTGGTGGCTGGATCTGCGCATCCCCACCGCTGCCACCGTGTTTAAAAGTTTCTCAGCCGTGTTTGCAGGCGGGAAGTTGGAACCTGCAATTACAGCTGTGCTAACCCCTCATTAAAAACAGGAGGGGGGGGGGGGGGAGAGCAAAAATGGGAAAGAGACAAAAGCCTCCACAGACACACACGCACACGGTGCCGTTAACCCTTCCTAAACTGGGGATGTGCCCAACACAGGTGGCCCCGTGCAAAACTGGTAACGGCACCAAGGATGCTTCGCAGCGGGGACGGCGGTGACCCCATGCGCCCATCCATGGCCACCCCACGGGGCATCACTGCCCATCCGGCTCCATGCCCCGGGTCCTGGTGCCGTCGGCGCCCGCGTGGGCACGGCTGCGGCGGTGCCGGAGCCGTTTGTCACGGCGGGGCTGCGGTTGCTGCTGGCTCTCCAGCAGCGACACCGTGACGCCTGCTGCAGGAGCCCACACAATATGTTCGCACTCATCTCGCAGCTGCCCCCAGACAGCCCGAGGTGCCGCGCTCCTCCCCGGCGCGGGGGCCGCGCTGTGCCGGCATTGCCGCGGCGAGCCCAGGCAGGCAGGCAGGCAGGCAGGCGGGCACCGGCACTGGGTGCCACATGGGGAGGACATAGTGGGAACACAGCCGGCACTGCGGTGCGATGCGCTGGTTTCCCCCCCTCCTTCATTCCAGAGCCTGGGGAACACAAGGCGGGGGACCCCCATATCACCGCAGCGCCGCTTAAGGCTGCTCTAGGGATGGAGTGTGGCAGCCCCCTGGAGTCCGTCCCCAGCAAGGGCCTGACCCATATTCCCTCTCCTTGTGCCTTTATCCCTGGGGAGCAGCGTGTTTTGCGTTGCCCTCCCACCGCCGCCCCCCCTTTCCCCCCCCCCGGCGACATCATCTCACCCACCGCGGCCGCAGTGGCCCTGACAGCCAGCTAACGAGCTGCAGGCAGCAATTTGGGTTATATATAGCCCCAAAGTGACTGCATCTAATTGCTCCAGCACACACCGGCCACGCCGCGGGGTCCGGGTGATGGGCACAGGGGACCGGGGCGGGTGGCACAGGCTCACCCGTCCCGCACACCCCGTGTGACTCCCCAGGGGCCGTTGCGGTGCGAGCAGCGCTCCATCCCATGCCAGCCCCAAGCAGCAGCGCTGCTCTCAACAGCTTTGTGCCGCACCATAAGCGGCTTTGCCTAAAGCCGCCGTCCCAACCCGTCCCAGCCAGGGACCCTAAGGAGCTTTTGTCCCCTCTCATTAATAGGTTTTGTCCGGGAGGGGAAGGGGGGGGTGCAGCACCCAGCACCCCTTTCCACATCCCGCAGGCTCCAACCAGCTGCTCCGGCATCCCCGGGAGAAAGGGCTGGATGGAAGGAGGGATGGGGTTGGTCCTGCCACCGGC